TACCACAGGCTGGCAGAGCTCCCGAAGGGAAGTACATCTTATATCCAGGCTTGTAGAAGGATTTACCAGATAACTTGTAGGGCAGCTGCATGTCCTCCTGAAACCCATCCACCACAATCTCTTTGTGGAGCTTGGTAGGAGCAGGTGATGCATAGCGACGCTTAGCCGGTACTGGCTTCGAAGAGAGCACAACTCGAGGAGGGTCAGCAGGAAGAGCGGAATTCTTCTTCATCCTTCGCTCGTATAGGGAAGCCATCTTCTAGGAAGTGAAGTCAGGACAACTCGTCAGCACTGTATTCGATGAACGAATGACTCAACTGCAGACAATCATTCGTTTATACGAGCCAGAGAGGTATGTGGATTGAAATGATAAGATATGTGTCAACCAATCAAGCCCGCCAAAAACATTTCACCAATCAGCATCAAGCCCGCCAAAAACATTTGACCAATCAGCATCGTGCCCGCCAAAATCATATCTCATTATAAAGATTCCTTACATGATACCGCCACCTTGGTGAATTGATACAGTATGGAAAGAAGATCACAGTCAAACGTGTGCATGTTCTGGATCACGTGATCAAGTGAATAGATTTCCCAGCAATAAGCATCAATCAATGATGTCATAAGAGATATATCAGATTGAGATAAAAGCAGCAAATTCGAACGCAACGTGGACAATTGCAATGAAGACACCATCCTAGTCGACTCCATGAGATGCAGTACGTATAGGAGTGGAAAATGCTGAGGAAGAGGTTTCATGATTCGACTGAACCTCAACCAGGCTACATTGCTATGAGGTAAGTAGGAATACAGTTTACGTAATGCATCCACATTCGTATCGTATACTATACAGGATAATGCTATAGCATAATTTATACTCTTGTACAAACAGGACTTCTTCATGGCACGTATCTGCTCTCGAAGAGGGTGTACACGAAGCTGATCGGATAAGAGTTCAGTTTTCAAAAGAAAATGCAAAAGATGACGATCCACACCACATAACCGCTCATGCGCAGCGTAAGGCTTCTTCATCAAACTACATCTCTGATGCACATCAACTTCAGGTAAGTAAACCACATCCATGACAAGTCCACAAGAAGAACATACGTATCTTCCTTCATGAACAACATGATCAAGATGATGACACTGCTTTTCCTTCCCTTCTTGCTCTTCTTCTTCTTCTCCTCCTTCTTGTTCTTCTTCTTCTTCTTGTTCTTCTTCTTCTTCTTCACGAAGTCTCTTTTCACGTACATAGGCACGTAAGATCTCTAATTCAGAATCCATCTTCACCCCACACCATCATCTTCATAGTGAAACATTATCCATCAATATATCTACTTTTATACCCACTCCTATCCGGGGATAATAGCAAAATACTCCTGAAAAAATAAATAAAAAATGAACAGAATAAAGATTAACAATGACGATAAGTGTGCCTTATTCAACCCAAAGGTCAAAGGTCAAACCCTGGGGGAGTCCCGGGGTCAGACCAAGCACGACCGACACAGTGTGCCTTATTTGGCCCAAAGGTCAAAGCAATAGAAGAAAGGCATTCACATCTCAATCTGATATCATAGTCGAAAGATTCCAAACCCGAACAAAAAAGACTCACCATGACGGGGGCGTCTTTCCGCTTTCGAAACACATCGTGTTCTCCAAGGTCGTCACCTCCCCGTGGCGTGACCCCTTGGTCTTGTTTGAGACGTCTAGACGTAGCCTTGTTTACAAAGGTCATCGCGGCGTGAACTTTGACCTCGAGGTGAAGTAGTCTCAACCTGCAGTTTCATTATCGACTCCTTCTTGCAGTGTGAAGAAGCTAAAATGGCGTGGACATTTTCTGAGACGTGCAGAGCAGAGAAATGGTATTTATTTTCATGCGATAATGAAGAGTTCTCAATCCGTCGCCTCAGTGCTAGCAAGACAACCAGGGATCTTGACCCGATGATAGCACATCCCAGAAGATTCGATATGTCACCACTCACTGCTGCTGAGTATATTATCTGCAGGGTCACCAGTCTGATCTTGAATGTGAAGAATAGGAAACAGCACCTTCCTAAAATCGTCATCGGTGGTGTGGAGGACTACGGAACTATTAGTGAGACTGATGATGGTGTCATACTGCGAAGGTGGACTGATGGTAGACACTCATTCTACAAGCTTAGTGACATGCGTGACGAACCGTGCTCTCAACACATCATCGACCTCTTCGCTGATGCAACCTATTTGGATTCCAGCGACGTAATGCAACTTGTCAAGGAGGTGAACGAAAAATGAAGTCTCTCGAGTTGATCGTGTGCGTGTACGACGTAGTACCAAGGCCGTTCAACTCCGTGCCGTTGCAACAAGAGTAACGCGGATTCGTGTGCGAGTTGGTACGATCGACATCGGCGACGATGGATTTATCTCCAAATTACCCGAGTCGACTGTTGACACGATGGCGGTGCAAAGGAGGTCGTCGACTGACAGTTCCATTGCTGACTGGGTGGAACCATTGGTGCACATCAGAGCGTCCGACAACTCCACCTCGTACTGCGTGTCACGGAAGAGATCATGGGTGAACAGGCGCGTGCACCGTATGAGTTTTTTGGTGGTTGGAAACCACCTTTTTTCGGGCAATCTTGCCAAAGGAAAAGCGTGCCTACGCTCGTACTGGATTGGTTATTCTGCACACGCGTAGATCGACGGGCAGTTTACAGTACAGTGACTATGTCCCTATTTCGAAGTGAGAGAGAGTTGCTTTGCATGCAGTTCAAAATACATTATTCTCTCTTTCTTCAGTGGAGAGTAGCCACAGAGAGATCGATATCTAGGCTAGCTCTGGTTCGCTCCTGGATTGGCGATGACGTTCAAGAAATCCGTTTTGCCTCGAAATTTGAGTCAAGCACGCGCGATGCAAGTCAGTTCAAGGATATGATTGACGATATCTACTTCTAAACTGTTGACTCGAATCAAGATGACAGCCTTTCGTTCTCGCTCATGTGCGCAGCAGAGATGTTCGGCAAAAACGTTGTCGACTGGAAGACGTAAAAATGTGCGTCCATGATCCACTTGCGCTGCTTCAGAACGAAGCGCTACTCGGGCCGCGACTCAAGGACGCGGGGCTTCGCTTTTCTCCCGCGAGCTTCCATCGAAGCAAGGTCCATAACTCTTTAATGAAATCATGTGGAACATTGCCAATACATGCCGAAAACTTCGTCATAAGAACAGAAAGAAAAATACGTCGAATGTAAGCAGTGGTTTGATGTAACAAACATGCCTGCATGGAGTGGACTAGTGAAGTACCATAGACATAGTGTTATACTTATAGACTGTAGTGTATACATGTAGCCCGGGCGGCTAGGCCTATCAAACTTTTACGGGTTTGACAAACATGTGACTGTATATGAGTGCATTGACTTTTGCACCCTCTTTGCAAATACTTTTTGAAGTGCTGGTATGTAAAAGGTAACCCGTTTTATCCTACCGGTCATACATGTACCAACATTTCCATGTAACATCGTCCCCTCCCTCCATTCCTCATTACTCTTATTTCTGTCTTTTCTACCCCTGTACCTGGTTGCCCTCTCAGACGCGTTTGTGCCGGCAAGATCTAATGATAGCAGTCGGACGAGCCCCGCATCTCATCAGCACCATGTACCAGTGTTCATGTGCACAAAATACATAATAATACAGTGGGTCTCCAGAATTTTTTTTACCAACTCCAGAAACCCCCCTTTCAAGACTCGGTGCACGCCACTGGTGAATCCATCCTCACACGTATTCGAAGAGTAAACTTTGTGGTCTCTCATCCAATACCAGCTTGATGAAATCAGGACAACAAGAACTGAATTGTACTACCTTTCTCCTCCACTCCATTGCGATATTCACTGTTCGTTCCATTATTCTTTGTAATGACATGTATCGTATCTATCAAGAACTGACCTTTCTGACGTGTGTGCGAGCAGGACCATTTTTGAAAAATTGCATGGGGAGGTGGGGTAGGTCACGGAAAAAACTTCATGATAAACACCATATTCAACATTCTACTTTTTATACCCACTCCCATCCGGGGCAAGGTGGCCCAAAAAAGTGAGATTCAAACCCACATGTGCACAACACATATTTTCAATAATACCCCATTTTTTTGAGGTAGGGGCACCCCCTGGCACATATTTTTATCCGCAAAAAAACCGGGCCAAAAATAATTTTCACCGCAAAAATGGGGTACTATTAGTACCCCATTTTTCAATAATACCCCATTTTTTGGGACCCGGGCGCCCCCTGGCCCAGAACCCGCTCGTCCCTTCCTACTCTTGTGTTAAATGATTTTTTGCGCACGCGCAAAAATATGTTAACACAGAAGGCGCATGCTCTGTTCCCAACAAACTCTCACACGCTCATTGTTCTCCGAAGTCCACTGTTCCTGACTTCAGTTCTTGCTTTGTCCGCATTGGCAGTGGATTTCTTTCTCAACCCACCCACCCACTCCACTATTGTCATCATCATGTTTCCTATTCTAGTTCTCTCCTGTCGGTATCCATTAGCATACCGGCCTACAATAACTACACCGATGCCGTCTACCGGCGAAACTCTGTAAATACATGGAGGGGAGTCAACCTTGCTTACCAGGCTCCTCATACGGCTCATTCAGCCTCTCACACTCAGACGGCTCACTCAGCCTCTCAATACGGCTCACTCAGCCTCCGCAGCCGGGCCCTGCCCGGCTGCCTCCATACGGCTCACTCAGCCTCCGCAGCAGGGCCCTGCCCAGCTGCCATACACACACATTCACACAGCTCTAAGCTGTCACTCACTCGGAGCCTGGCAAAGCAATTGACAAACCCTCCTATTCCCCAAACTGGTTGCTCGTTGTGTGAGTGCGGCATGCAGATGCTTGTGTTAACACAACATTGCACATTACTACGCAGTACACAGGCACTCACACCCTCAATAGCATTCCCCACAGTGAACACACAATGGTGTTGGGCAGGTGGTGTGATGCTGTGATGCAGCTTGCTTACCTTACGGCCCAAATGAACCCATTGTGGGTCTTGACCGGTAGTTACAAAGTCAGGGTGGTAGACCAAGTAGCCAGATCTATCCACTATCACACACCTAGTGGAGTGGTGTACACATGTATGCAAAAAGAGAGAGAGGCACGCAGTCAGTACTACTCGTAGTACACAAATAGCTGATCATACAACTGCTGCCGCATAGAAAGATCTACAGAGCTGTAATGTATTAGCAGAGCACACGCTGAACATGTATCACTAACTAGTTATACTGCTAGTCTATAGACTAGTCAGCAGCATGTTCTCTCTACAAAATCTCTTCATTCAGAGAGTGCTATCCCTCATGTCAGCACTGCAGAGATAGTACATGTATAATTACATGTTCATTAATCTACACTTGTATATTTAAAAAAAAAGTACTTCCAACACATGGATTCCACACAACACAATGAATAATTTCACCGGTGGGCGTACCTGTACGTATTGCGGCATTCCGGGTACACTTGTTCAATGGTCAAGCCGAGAAAGCCCATGGTAAAATCCACGCCCATCACAGCACCAACAGCTGGTACAGAGCTGAAGTCATACAATAAGAAAAAAAGTACATTGTATTGTATCCATAGAGTTGACTGCCAGGAATGGTTACAATAAAGAGAAGTTGAAAGTAGGGTCAACGTCCAGGACCAATGAGTAAAGACACAAGCTACAGTAACATTAGTTGCTAATTACTTGCAAAAGTACTCGATATCACGCGGGCAGAGCCAGAGAGCTCAGACCCAGCGAGTTTACGATGGCAAATTTTCACGGAACACTGTGGCTACACACCTACACCCACTGTTGAAGTTTGATTTCACGATGGTTTATATTGGCGTTATGCTTGCAAACATTAGGCAGTTTACAGTGGTACAGACAGATAGATCTATTGCTATAATAACAAAAAAAGATATTTCATTGGAACAGGACATTCATTTGTCCCAGTGAGCAGTCACACAATAATATCGACGCTGTACAAGCCACACTGCGATAGCAGTGCGTTGCACAAGTGACCAGGCAGCACACTCCCAGCTTACCGGTTGACTGATTGGTGAATACTCTGACTAAGTGTGGCAACATAACCAGCACCGAATGCATCAAGGTAGGGTGGTGACAGGGTTATATCTCCTGGGTTACTCAGGGCCCTTGTAAACCTGATGACAAGAAAGGACACAAGCAAGAAACATGGAAAATCCAGTTGATACCAGACGGAAGATGCAACTGAACTCATTGACACCTTCTGCACCATCACTTTTGATATCGGTAAAAAATTACAAAAAATGGTGATACGAGCAAGCAAGCAATGTTAGTGATACACAGCCTCTTGATGGTAGGTTCAGTGACAACGGGGAACACGTGTGATTTTGCAACCATGGCAAATCAACTACTTATTGAACAGTAATGTTACCCCCCCCCCCACACACACACACACAGACACACACTTGTTCTTGTTCTTGCTCACTGCCAAAACTGGTCACGTGGGTCTCCCCGGGAGAGGGGAGAGAGACTCAAAAGGAATCTTGGAAAGATGACTCAATTGGCCATTGAACCACCCAACGGCCGACACCCCCTGAAATCCCCAAACTAGGGTGGATTACACACACACACACACACACAGAGCAAAGAAAATGCCATGTGATTGTTGATCATGAAGCTACTGACTCACGAGTACAATCACTAGTACTCAGCTTACTGATGTGTGTGTCCACTGGACATGTACCTGTGCACAGGTAGTAAAGTGGACTTACCAGTCACGACGCAAGTGATCGTATGCGGTGGGCAGCTGTGTTCCTGGAATGATGCGGAACATGCCATCTATGCTACCAATATACCTGCAACGCATGGACACATACACACATGCACGCACACACACACACACACACACACACACACACACGCACATGCAACACATACACACACACACACATGCGACACATACACACACACGAGCATGTACACGCAAATGTGTCCATGCACACACACGAATAAAAGACAAGTGCTGTGGGTTATATCAATTTCATTTGTTGCCTGCTGCACTCATTTTAAGAGACGTAGCAAGTATTCTCAAGAAGCATCAGTGCAGCCATGACAAGATCAATCTTGGCTGCGCCTCGGTTTTTATGATCCATTAACTTCAGGCCTGTCTTACCGGGTATATAATTATAAAATTTATATGGGTTCGGCCTCGTTTTCTCTGTTCTGTGCTGCGCTGATGAGTCCACGAAGGACGAAACAGTTCTGTCCGCAGATTGAGTAATTTACAGTCAAACCTCTTTAGGACGAACACCAAGGGACTGACGGGATTTGTTCACAATAACGGGAGTTCTTCTTTTCCATATCTTATACCCAGTGAATACACAGTGATTTATCCAATAGAGTTACAAATACTAGTTCTTCTTAAGCGAAAGTTTGTTTTATCAGTGTTCTTCTTAACGAGGTTTCACTGTATATTGGATACATATTGTACAGTGCAGTGGGTTTTCAACTTTGCTCACCTTCACCCCTTCTTCACCTGCTCAACACATTGTTATTTAGAAACAATTCAATTGTGGGCTATCGACAGTCATAGAGATACTCACAGCACTCCCATCACTCCCAGCATTCCCAGCAGCCACAGCACTCCCAGCACACACAGCACTCACAGCAAAACCTACCTCCACACAACCGAGCGTGAGTACAGACCAGCCGCCGGGCTATTCCATAGTGCATCCAGCGCCGATGTCAAGCGAACCGAGTTGCGAATTGTATCCTGCAAAGCCCACACAAGACCGGCACATTCCCAAGGCTTGTCAACAACTATAGAAAGTGACCAATACGAGCCACCTGCTCCGTGCGCAGGCGCTAAACATCATTGAATGTTCAGGAAAAGCTACTGTAGCAGCATTCAATGTTACGCTACGCTATGTTGAGTGGGTACATAAATAAATTCTACAACATCACATACACTCATACCTCGGTTAGCCGGGCGACCTGGGACCGGGCACTGCCGGTAACTTTGATGTCCGTAACTCCGAATCACATACATGATGGGGAAAGGCCATAGATATGGGATATGTCACTATTTCCACAAAAAGTGACAAAAAGTAGTTATTTTTCCACTGAAACTCGCCCAAAAGGTGCCCGGTAGACGGAAGTGCCCGTAACTTCGGGGTCCAGATACCCGAGGTATGAGTGTACTCGTCCATGTACTCGTACTCTCCACCAGCAGACCCATGCATACTATGAGGTGTACAGATCTACTCATATCAGTGATATAACCAATGGTTGTACCTTGAAATAGGAGTTGGCACCATTGCCATCCAAGTAGCTCAGATAGCTGGAAACAGTCTGAGATGTCTCCGGCACGTTGAGATACTGCGACGGATTGAGGAATGCTTCTGGTGAAAATTTGACCGCACTCAGATCTGAACAATGCATCATGAGGAAACACAGTCAGTTAGATAAAACCTTGAAAGATGCAAGGAGACGAGGAAGAGATGTAAACACCTTTGATAACAGATTTGATGCATTCAAATTGCAAGACAAGCAGGCAGTGGTGACGTCCTCTAGCATATCAAATGTCAGTGCACCGTTGGCAAGTAGTTGTGATGTCAGTAAAGAAGGGGATCTTGACACCAAACAAACCTCTCACGGCAAGATGCCCAAACTGACTGCACCGTTGTCCGCGCACATTGAGGTCTAGTCGATGGTACAGAGTGTTCACTGAAAAGAGCAACAGATAGTCACACAAACATCAACAATCATAGAGTTTGAAAACTGTGCAATCGTTTGTAAGACTACCTGGTTCCAGCCACCACCTTCCTTGTCTGTAAGACCACTATTGTCTGGTGCAAAGCATGGGAACTGTCCACGGGTCACCCTGTTATCAGAGACAACCTGCATTCAAAGGTCACGATAGGCCGGTGCCATGGATGGTCGCTGAAAACTGGGTACCATCTGTACTGCTACTGTGATAGTAGCAGCCATTGGGACCAGCTAGTTATCTATGCCCTAACTAAACAGTAAACACTGCAGCAAAACTGGAAACAAATATGTGGTAGAACTGCAAACCAAACAGCGGGAAGAATGTAAACTATGAATACATGTATATCTGCATAATCGTCGAGCTAGCATGGGTTCACTGGTGCCACTACACAGCGGATAGTTATTAGCCTTACCTGAACTTCGGGCTTGGTTAATTAGAGCATCAACTTCATTGGAGGCATCGTGATTCAAAACCACACCAACAATGAACTCAGTTCCAGAAATCTGCACCAGCAAAGTGAATGAAAAGTTGAAAACATGGATGACAGGGATCAAAACAAGTCAACGGTAGAGCAGCATGTTGCAATTATACAGGCTGGTGGTACAAACACCATGTCCTATCATACGTATACTCAATATATTGTGTGTGTGTGTGTGTGTGTGTGTTTTTTTCTTCTACAAAATCCACATATCTCCAGACACTGGTGTGTGTGTGTGTGTGTGTGTGTGCGTGCGTGCGTGCGTGCGTGCGTGCGTGCGTGCGTGCGTGCGTGCGTGCGTGCGTGCGTGTGTGGTGCTCCATCTTATGTGTATCTCGGCGTCAGCAATGGGAGGAGAAAATCTCATCGGCAACGCTCCGTGCCCGCTGGGGTGACACTACACCGGTGTCAGACCTTGTTCTGCGTCGGCGGTTGGAATGGCTCGGGCACGTCGGGCACACCGGTGTAGTGTCACCCCAGCGCATGCCTGCAGACCGTGCTCCCGTCCAGATTCGCTCCATCTTATGTGTATCTCGGCGTCAGCAATGGGAGGAGAAAATCTCATCGGCAACGCTCCGTGCCCGCTGGGGTGACACTACACCGGTGTCAGACCTTGTTCGGCGTCGGCGGTTGGAATGGCTCGGGCACGTCGCGCGCATGCCTGCAGACCGTGCTCCCGTCCAGATTTTGTTTGGAAGGTTGAGTGGTCGTCGCCCTCCTTGTGGTCCCCGGCGGCGCTGGAAAGACGTTGTCCAAAGAGACATGAAGGCAGCTGGCGTGGATTCCTGGTTTCAGAATGCCCAAGACCGGCAGAACTGGAGGATGTTCCTTGCTGAGCCACCACCGCACACAGATGATTCGCCACCTTTGCGCTGCTTGCTGTGTGCCAGAGACTTCCGCCGCCGTAACGACATGGCCCGACACAAGTGCATTGCCCAGCGGAAGTTGCCTGTGTCACAACAGAAGGGTGCCAGGCAATGTATGAAGTGCATGCGGTGGTTGAGGAGCGCTGGAGGACTGGCTGTGCATCGCTGTCCTGTGTCCACGGATGTCCCCACTGTATCTATTCGCCATGAATCTGACTCTTTTCGATGTGATGTTTGTCGCCGCTCTTTCCGCTCCCGTTCTGGTTTGAGCCGTCATCACTGTGACCGTGCGAAACGGATGTCACGTGCAGCCAGGAACAACTGCCGTCATGAATGCGAGCATTGCGAAAGAGGGTTCTCAAGGCCACAGGACTTGCAACGCCATGCCAAATATTGTTGACTTTGCGATTTCTCTCTCTTCTCTTCTCTTTTCTTGTCGTTGTCTCCCGCTTCTGGGAGCGGCGTGGCCCGATAGGGTAGCTGTACATAGTAGTAGTAGTAGTAGTAGTAGTAGTAGTGTGTGGTGTGTGTGTGTGTGTGTGTGTATGTGTGTTTGTGTGTGTGTCGAGAGAGAGAGAGAGAGAGAGAGAGAGAGAGAGAGAGAGAGAGAGAGAGAGAGAGAGGGGGGGGGGGGAGGGGGGGGGGAGAGGAGAGACAGAGACAGAAACAGAGAGCGAGGGAACAGAGAGGCAAGGATTGACAACATAGGCTAGGTTGGCTTACCGGTTGCCAGTAATAAGATGACATCACTGATACACGCACTGTGCCTTCATATTGACTATTACCAATCATCTGAAATCGCGTTGCAGTGAAAGTGGCTGACCCTGTTGTACGGCTGATGCAGAGCAACAAGAGGAGGATGAGAGAACAAGTAAGAATACTGCCATTCACCCTGCTGTGACCAACTTTACTGGCATGCTTACATTCACCTTCTTATACTGAATGAGGACTGGTAGTGAAAGATATTCTCAACTAGAGTAGCCAGGTCACCGTTATTAAATTTTGTTAAATGAACAGAAAAGTAAAGTGTATATCTCATGATGTCACAAGCCCAAGGCTACCTGTACATGCATAGGGAATGTGTGGGAAAACACGTACTGCTTGTACTTGCATAGGGTATGCGTGAACCAACATGGACTGAATGTGCTTGCATAGAGAATGTCTGGGACAGCAGTGATACTACCTGTGTTGTCCCTGCCCTTTTGGCACGTGTGTGCCCCTTTTGGCACGTGCAGGTTGCGCATGCGTGCATGCTTATCGTGCGCATCCTGATTGTTTTGTGTGCCTTCTTCCTGAGACTCTCCTTGGAGTAAGACGAAAATAATCTGTCCTCTGAGTGTGGCGTGCGTGTGATGTAGAAGAGAGTAATCGGAAGGGCTATCGTGCGAGGGAATAGAACCCCCCGACGACAATTGGCGCCCAACGTGGGGCTCGAACCCACGACCCTGAGATTAAGAGTCTCATGCTCTACCGACTGAGGCGATCTAAACACGACAGCATCTGGAGAGATATCCATGAGCCCCCAGAAGGAGCACCTCCACCATTACTACTGCCAACCGAAGTCATCACCACAATGCTGCCTTCAGTGATACCGATATCACGAACACTACTGAGAAAGTCCTACATGGGCTATAGGTTCAAAAGAAGAACTCATTGTGTCTTTGTTGATGCACACGTGTGTTTATCAAGGGCAAGTCAATCATGACCTTTACCGGCGAGTACGGCAGTAAACACTTCTACTACTACAACTATAGCTAGCCCAGCAACAGATAGGCAACGAGGTGGCCGGTATTTTGTGGCTGCAACTCCACCTCTGGATTTCGTATGTGTTGTTGAAAAGGCCAAAGAGAAGGTGCCTGCATAGGGAATGCGTGGATTAGCAAAGAAACACTTACTTTCTCATCTGCATGTACACGTTGCTACGGAATGCAGCGTCCGGCTCTAGGAGCGTGATGTCTTGAAACAGAGGATCAGTGGACAGATCCACGGGCAGCGAAAGAAGAGGATGAAGGACAGCTTCACCTGCACACCAGGTATGTACAACATAGAGTCACACAGGGCATGGTGCAAGTAGTAAATTTATCACACAGTTTTATATATATATATATATATATATATATATAAGAGAGAGAGAGAGAGAGAGAGAGAGAGAGAGAGAGAGAGAGAGAGAGAGAGAGAGAGAGAGAGAGAGAGAGAGAGAGAGAGAGAGAGAGAAGAGAGAGAGAGAGAGAGAGAGAGAGAGAGAGGAGAGAGAGAGAGAGAGAGAGAGAGAGAGAGAGAGAGAGAGAGAGAGAGAGAGAGAGAGGGAGAGAGAGAGAGAGAGAGAGAGAGAGAGAGAGGAAGAGAAGAGAGAGAGAGAGAGAGAGAAGAGAGAGAGAGAGAGAGAGAGAGAGAGAGAGAGAGGAGAGAGAGAGAGAGAGAGAGAGGAGAGAGAGAGAGAGAGAGAGAGGAGAGAGAGAGAGAGAGAGAGAGAGAGAGAGAGAGAGAGAGAGAGAGGAAGAGAGAGAGAGAGACTGTGTCCCGTACTAAGTCAATACAACAGCACACCAACTGGGAAACTAGGGGTCCCAAGCAGTATCCTAATCAAGTTAGCTTTATCAACATCATCATCACTGTGTAGTTCCAAGGCCATTGGAACACCAAGGCCATTGGAACATCAGAGAGCAAAACATCAGAGAGCAAAACATCAGAGAGCAAAACATCAGAGAGCAAAACATGTGGATGAACATCAGAGAGCAAAACATGTGGATAGAAAAAAAAGCTACTGGGAAGCAGATGTACATGGATATCTCTTGATAAACCCATAGCACTGGCATAAAGTACAACTTCCCGCACCGCACCGCGCTACACCATACACACACACACACACACACACACACACACACATGCACGCATGCACACACACACACACACACACATGCTTACAAGCACAATGTGACGGACATACCATCATTGTTGATCATGAATGCATACTGGTGCTCAGCATCGGAGAAGTACGAGATATCACCGAAGAGGTCGGACACCGTGACATCGACACCGACAACACCAGCCAGCCGAAGATTGGTCGTTGGCCCAGCATAGACTGGTGCTGCCACGGTCAGAATGGCACCTGTACACCAAACAAACAGGGAAGCCGACGCATATATATGAGATAATTATATGATGTCCTGCCACTGGATACGCAAACACGTACATCGCAACCCACACCCACTCACCTACTCTTTGAGCTTGTGTTGGACAACCTTGAGACAACCATGCAAGTTACACTCACCATTATGCATGTAAACAAGAGCAGCGCATATTTATGAAACTCATCCTGTCAACCAAGCTTCACTCACCCAGGCCAAATGCATCGTAGTACGGCATTGTAATGGTAGTTGACGACGTGGAAACCTCAGTGGCAAAGAACGAATAGTACAGAGACAGGCTGCCGCGTAGGTTGTTGAAGTCAGCGATTTGCTGATATCTACCGACCTGCACAAGGAACAGTGCATGCAAGCATGATGGATATTACATCAGCTTAGCACACACTCCAAAGTACTAGTAGTCATAGTACTAACTGAAATATCATTCAGTGTCCATAGCATGGCTAGACTAGTGATATGACGAGGCAAGCATCCCAGAGTGTTGAAAAGAATGCAGAAAGGATGCTTGAGCCAGCACAACAAGAAAGGCTGTACTACAATAACTTGGAGAGGAAATCAAAGCGTGCGTGACTTACAGCTCCGCTAGATGGCAGCGAGAAGCCACTGCCATATCTCTGAGCAGCCATGTTAGATAGCAGAGTCGGATCGGAGATGGCTAACAAGCACAAAGCAAAGAACAGTTTTACTTCAAAGATAACTGCAGTCCAACCTCGTTAGGACGAACTTCAAGGGACTGAACAAGTTTGTTTGTCTTATCCGGAGTTCTTCTTATCCAGATCTGACAAAAATTGATATGCATATCATGTGGATTGCTTTTACGTGAAGGTGCATGCTGTGGCACATGTAGAGCATTCATAGCATAAGCCAGCAACAGGTAAGTACAATGTGCAATGAATTCATGACAGCATGTCCTCTGTCCTGTAACATGCTGTCAATTCGTTTTGCCCATACAAGAGGCCTCGACTATCAGAAAAAGCTACAGCCAGCGCACGCAAATGGACTGAAAGGTCGTACTACGCGCTGATTTTGCTCAAATCACGCTTGAAATTAGTTCATCTTCACGAAAGTTTGCCCTACAGGAGTTCATCGTAAACGAATAATTTTGACTTGATATGATGCCTGGCCAACCATAGGATTGGCCCTTGTTCGTACTAATGGAAAGTTCGCTTTATCAGTGTTCGTCCTAATGAGGTTTGACTGTACATCAATAGCCTAGTAGCAGTGTTTGAGTTCTGCCTGTGATATACAAGCAGCAGGCAAGGAGTAAATCCTGAACTTAGGCCATCCGTAAAATTTGAAAAATAAAAAAATCCGGATACTACTTGTAGCAGTTTTATTAGAGCACTCAAGAGTACAATGAATGCAGATATGGCCACACAATGTTTTAGAGTGAGCTCTACAACGTCGTTATGTTGTGTGGCCATGTCTGCATCGATTGTACTCTTGATTGCTCTAATTAAATTGCTCCACGCCGACTTTTCAGATACTAGTCTAGTAGTGGCCAAATTTAGGCTGCCCCCCTGTATCCCCCGCCGTCTACGACAGGGACTTCAAGTAGCAAAGAGGTTGAAGGAACTGCGTGGCCAACCCGAGGAAAGCGAAGGCCCGCACCATCCGGCACACACCTTTCCTCGCATGTTGACATACAAACCTGGAAAGTCAACTAAAACTATGTGTTGTTCAGGGCACCCCAAACAATGTCCTCTATGCTATGGCTAAGACTGTATCCCCCGCCGTCTACGACGGGGACTTCAACTTGTTCAAGTAGCGAAGAGGTGGAAGGAACTGCGTGGCCAAACCCAAGAAAAGCGAAGGTCCGCACAGTCAGGCACGCAACTTTCCTCGCATGTTGACATGTCAGGCACCTAAAAGCCAATATTATGATGAGATTTTTAAGAGGTTGAGATCGAACAAACACACAGCGATTCAATCACCACATGGCATCATGGTAGTGCAGTCTGTCGTTTTCGAAAAGAAGAAAAATTCCGCACGGTATTTTTACCCCTGCCTCCTTTTAGCAACAATCCGGATTTTTTTCTTTTTCAAAATTTACGGAAGGCCTCACGGTGAAAACTAACTCTAGTAATACAGTTGTACTAAAGTTATACAGAGAAGATTGGATAGCATGTGGAGCTTGCAAGGGAATGACAGGTTTAATTTTACTTCTGAAGTACGGCTGATTTCTGTTGCCTAAGTCTCGTAGCAAGTACTCGGTGAAGATCAGGATTAGTGACAGATCGCATACACATATACAGTCAACTTCGCCTATAACAACACTCGGCGGGGCATCAGAAAAGTGTCGTTAATCGCGAAGTGTCCTTATACCCAAAGTCTCATTATTTGTATTACAGTTGGATGGGACTTTCCTCTGGGCATGGAAATTCTGTCGTTATTCGCGAATTGCCGTTATATCCGCAGTCGTTATAAGCGAAGTTGACTGTAGTGAGTTTTGTGATCTCCTGATGGAGTGTCATCATACTCCATCCCCACTGGGCTAGCAATTCAGTATGGCATTACAAAAGATTTTGATATTTTTGTTTTACTCGCCAAACGCACAACCAACACACTTCTGGACTTACAGGGACCAAGTGCGTACGTCAACACAGTCACTGTGTACTGGAACTTGGCGGCCGCGATGCGCTGAGCAGGCAAGACCTGAAAGCCGTCCGATGGCGCACCGTCCGTCAAGAAAATGATTACTTTCTCTGCTAAAGAGGAGCCAGCACAGGGGGCGAAATAGTCAACAAAGCAAACAGCACGACGGAGCATGCACACTTTAATACTAGGCATGAAACAGTTAGCCGATTAACCGGTTATTCAACCGTTCAGAATAAATGAGCGTTTAACCGTTTGCACAATGGATACTCGTTTACGTTAACGCACTCTCCACATACAGGCATGCAACTGGCTCAGAACACATTGTTTTCTGTTTGGCATATCAGGGATATTGGGCGGAGCAGCTGGCGTACATGAGACAGACAGGTCGGCCTGCTCTGCGCAGGAGCTGTGACCTGGAGCACACAGAGTGTGAACGAGAGACGGTCGGCCTGCCGTGGGCAGGAGCTGCGACCGGTAGTGATTGAAATGAGCCAGCTGCGGAGATAGACTGCCCTCACCCGATATAAGTTTATTGACAAGAGTTGTACTGACACTGTGATTGAGGAAATTATGGTGACAGTGACGGAGAGATAGTGATCCCCAGTCGAATGGGGTTGGGAGGGAAGGGAAAATTGACAACTGACGGACAAACCAGTGAACAGTCAAGTCGTCGGAAAACAGAAGTGACAAAGGAGTTCTCTGCAAAGCAAGATTTGGAAAGCACACGTGGGAGAGTGGCGCGCACGCTGCGCATGCGCATGTCTAGCAATGACATCATAATCAGATGCATGATCATCAGACTAAGTATGAGTGGTAGATGTTCCATGTTCGTTAACAGGGCTTAGCGCACGTGCTAAACCACCATTTTCACTCTCCTCTGTACATAATATACGTAGCTGTTGCGGTACATTCTTGTCAGGGCAGGAGCCAACATTGTGAGTGTTGTACGCAATGGATGCATGACAAGGCGACTTAGCAGTTTTAGTCAACTTGAGCGGATAAAGATGAGAACATCTCAAAGCAGCTCCGAAACATTCAACAAGTCATAACCTGTACTCACTACATACGTTGTGGTGAGTGCTTTTTTGGTATTGAATGAGGTCACAAGATATGAACAATGGCACATGGAAGTAGGTTATGTGCCTTATAGGTTATAATCGTTTGGTTAACCGTTAAAAATACACAGGCGTCTAAATCCACAGGCTGCGTATAGTGCTCTCACCCACCCACCAACACACACACACACACACACACACACACACACACACACACACACACGCACGCACGCACACACCATTTGACCATTTGACGCCCATCGCCAGAGGCGATGATAGCGATGTTACAGCAGAAGCCATAGCAGCTTGTGCTGGGATTGCACCATTCAACAGCTTGCAAGGCTGAAGAATTGACCGCCACTATTCAGCCTGGTCTACACCATACAGCTATGAAGTGGCTTTTTCTGGCCAGTGAATCCCTGCTCTTTGGTCTTTTTTTTCATTTTTTTCCACGCACACACATCACACCGCATACTCCGGCATGCACTGGCTGTTGGTAACCACCCAGGAGAATGAAAAGAAAGTCAGGAGGAGTCTGAGAAAAGAAAGACGTGTGTGACCATAATCGTCGGGAATCGAACCCGCAACCTATCGATTGGAAATCGCTGCACATACCACTGCACCATATGGGGCACACGCACACGCACACACACACACACACACACACACACACACACACACACACACACACACACACACACACACACACACAGACTGACCTCTTCTCTCCGGCCGCAGTTCTGGCACATCGAGGCGCTCATAAGCAGCTTCAATAGCAGCTGCATATCTTGTTCCACCTGAAAGTAACCGCAACAGTGAGGAACAAAAACTGTCTGTCTCTGACCAAGGGTAGAACTTTCTTTAGGAGTTTTAAACATTCCTTAATTTTGGGATGAGAGGAGCTGATAAGGTTCGAACAGGGTTGCTAACGTGTACACTTTGTCATGAAATGAACCGCTTCATCTAGAGATACCCTCACCAATGACAGAAGTAAGGTCCTAACAAAACAGTACAGACGGAACCGGTCCGGTAGGTCAGGCCATGGTTGGGCCAACACTTTGGCTACCAACGAGTGTTTACTGCTGAAGTCATATGCAACCGCCATGTCATACACAAAGTATGAAAGATTATGGTATGGCTGAACCAAGCACAAGCTATTCTACTTCACTGCTTCCGCCGGCCCTGCAAAAAGGCTGAAATATGTCCTGTAACAAAACGGCTAGCAAAATGTTTTCGTTACTTAGTGCAAGTGAGGATATGACAAGGCATGCAGAGCAGATAGCTGCACTCTTTCGACTCTTTTGACATAGTACATGTAGATCCGATGCTGGTATTCATCGATATGCAGGAAACACGGGTCACTATTGCCGGGTAGAGCGTTCAAGGTGGCGCACTTTTTGCAACTCTTTGGCTTTCCAAATTCACAACGAAATACAGTCCTGCTTTGTGTACAGTACTTTCAAACAAGTTGATGAGGGGTCTAAAACTTGGGTCAAGGAGAGGAGGGGGTGAAGGCGTTTCTAGCCTTCAAAAGCAAAGTCAAGTATACAAAAGTTGTAGGTGTAAATACATCTTCGCTTTATAAGCTGCTTTTTGGCTTCAAGGCAAAGCCACTTTCGGCGTAGTGTGGAAGGGGCCTTACAAACACACAACACACATGCTCGTCTAGGCAGGAAGTGTAACATACCGTTTGCATTGAGACCATTGACCAGTCTAGTCAGAAGTCTAACGCTGTACGGAGATACCAGGCCTAGCTCAGAGTCAAAGCACCCTGCTTCGCTACTACTGCCACCGATGGACCCCACACTGCCAGAGAACGGCACAACAGTGACCTGCCACATGACAACAACAACAACAACAACAACAACAACAACAACAACAACAACAACAACAACAACAACAACAACAACAACAACAACAACAACAACAACAACAACAACAGCCGCAGCAGCAGCAGCAGCAGCAGCAGCAGCAGCAGCAGCAGCAACAACAACAACAACAACAACTCGTATTGGCGATGGTGCCATCGTGAGAATAAAGAATTCAAACATATTCAAACAACAACAACAATCGTGAGAATAAAGAATTCAAAAAATTCAAAAAACAACAACAACAACAACAACAACAACAACAACAACAATAACAACTCTTATTGGCGATGGTGCCATCGTGAGAATAAAGAATTCAAACAAACAAACAACAACAACAACAACAGCAACAACAACAACAACAACAACAACAACAACAACAACAACAACAACAACAACAACAACAGCAGCAGCAGCAACAGCAGCAACAGCAGCAGCACCACCAACAAAATCACCAAGAACGCCAGTGGTCACAGCGAGCATGTTTGGTATGTAAACATGTGAACACGGGAATACAGGCAATCGTAACTAGACGGTTCCAACCACCGTACACCATGTATTCACTTCTCAGTAATGTATTGTCGTATTAAATTAATAAAATTATAAAAGTACTATAAGCTTACTACCTTAACACAGACACAAACACAGACACAGACACAGACACACACACACACAAACACACATGCACACACCATTGACCATACTGACGCACATCGCCGGAAGCGATGATAGCGATGCTACAGCAGAAGCCATAGCAACTTGTGCTGGGATTGCACCATTCAACAGCTTGCAAGGCTGAAGAATTCACCGCCACTATTCAGCCTGGTCATACAGCTACGAAGTGGCTTTCTCTGGCCAGTGAATCCCTATTTTTTGGTCTTTATTCTTTTTTTTTCCCGCACACACATCACACCACATACTCCGGCATGCACTGGCTGTTTGTAACCACCCAGAATGAAAGAAAAGTCAACTGACACACACACACACACACACATGTGCACATGTACACACAAACATGCATACAGTGAAGTATACATAGTGCATGTCACGATGGGGTACGATCCTAGCCTAGGACGGAGACCAGGCGGAAACCAGGCGGAAACCAGGCAAGCTGAAACAACATTCAGAACTGAGCGAGCACACAGCTGTGTTCAAAGTAATACTCGCATGCTTACCCGATCTCTGTCTGATAGTGTGTTCAATATAGATGCGACGGCAACTTTAGCAAGGTCAAGACGACTTTGACCTCCAGAATTGGGTACAATATCGCCTACAGAGCACAGCCAAGAATGTGGCAAGACAATAATCGCGGACTCTCCTCACAATAGCAATTTCAATCGCAAGTACACAGTCAGTAGACAGTCAACTCATCCTCTACACGCACTATTTGAGAACAGCCGGTAGTTCAGACAGAGCCAACTTCTCACTGCAAGTTAACAACAGGCAGCCATAGGGAAGGCCACTGAGAATGCCATGAAATGAGGCGGGCTTCAAATGACCCTGACATGGGAGACTTCCTTGATTTAGGCCAATGCCTGTGTAGAATCCATAAATTCAATATACACATACAAATACAAAATACACAACATACTAATACATGGCCAGGCAAACACCTCACAACCAGAATGAGTTTTACTGGCAAGAGGACACGGGGACGTGCCCCCCCCCCCCCCCCCCCCCCCCAATACATGTACACTGTATCTTACCCATAGATCCACTAACATCCACTACAATGACCAGGTCCTTGGGTGTGGGCACTGCAGATGCCACATACCACGGTCTACATCAAAGAGGAGAAGAGCACACACACACACACACTCTCAAGTGCACAAACACACGCGCGCACCACACACACACACACACACACACACACGCATTCATTCCACTCCATTCCCTCAACTAGTGAATATTAAATCAAATACTGGCAGGTCATAGTTCCTTTGACTTGTGCGTTGCAGTCAATTTGCTGCACATGTACTGCGCCTGTCAAAGTATGGTACGACAACAGTGAACTAATCAAACACGTCCATTCCATAGAGAGAAGGGAACATGAGGTGGTATTATTGCTGTAACTTCACGCAAAGTGACCATCAGACAGCACAATGCGTGTGAGCACTCACATGGGTCACACAGAAAAACCACACTCATCCCTTACCTGAATCTTGGGTCATAATCGGAACAATCGGTGATATTGATGCCAGGGTACAGTGTTGCATAGCCTTCTTCTGATCCAAAGTATTGGAATCTTGCCTCCGGAACACGGTTCAGCTGTGCCTTTGCCTCGGCAGTGATTGTAGAGCTGATGGTGGACCGTGAGGATGATGCACTAGCACTGATACGATCACATCCATTGTCAAGGTTGACCTGGATCAACAGAACAGACACAAAATGACAACAATAACGACTTCTAGCTCACAGCGGTCACCGACACACCGCCAACACACATCCTACACACCAACACACTGCTGCAGAGTATACCATTGCAGTGAGGCAAACAGATCACAAAAAAACTACATGTAGGCGATTTTCTGTGCCGGATATTGGGGAAGGGAGAATGTGACTCATCCACCCCAGACTAATGTAAAGGACTAGAGCTACCCACGCCCTAGAAAGGTCTCGTGAATGTGTACAAGGTAACGTATCCATCTTCTGATACTCTGATATGGTCAACGTTTCTGAACACGTGTTAGTAGCATACCGTTTGATTGAAGCGAGCATCAAAGCTGACACTGTTCCGGGACAGCCTGCAGCACTCAGTCAGGGTGCTAGATGTCTGCCCGCCATTGTACGCATCACGCGCTCGTGAACGAAGCGAGGTGACTATGCTCAGGCGAGAGGTAAGACGTGACGCCACTTGAGTTGCAAGCTGAAGCCAAAGCACGCAACCACCACACAATAGAAATTAGGTAACCATTCCACCAGCTGGTAGCATGGCGCGCTGGCCCTCTCAAATGCATGTATGTACGTCAAGAGTACATGAAAACTGGAGTCCTAATATGCAGACTGTACCCCTTTCAGGGCCACACCAGTGAAGCTAACACAGGTGTTCCTGCACCCGCTATAGCTGGACCATGGCATGGCAGCACAGAGAAGCAAGGTGCTTACATTATTGGCAATAGTGGCACCATTCAGCGCAGGTGATGTGGACAGCTCCGCATTATTGTTATACAACTCCTGCATAGTCACAAGGCACACAAGAAGCAAGAAAAGCATGTAGTGGTTCGTACGTTCCGAAAGACAACCACCAGACAAGACGTGCCTGGTCACGTGGACATAGTCACCACCTAACAAGCCAGTTATTGGAGTGATAGATTTAGCGCTCCCTGCTTCAAGTGTTGGATATCCAGCGTGCTCAGATAACTGGCAACTAGATAATCATGAAAATCGGCACTTGATTCCACATGAATGCGTACAATTCGAGCTATGGAACCAAGAAATGATTTTAATTCGAAAAAAAAGACAACATTCTGGACAAGTCAATAGTCCCAATGCCTTGCTTTAGAACTTCAGGGTTGCGGATTCGAATCCACCCATCTTAAGAAAAAGGAAAATTCTTTCATGCACCTCCCTTCAGAGCTTCCAGATGGTCAGTACCCTGTGCGACACACTGAAGTAGGTGTTTTTCGTTGTGTTCCATACGTGTAGTGTGTTTTGAACTTCAAAATTCAAAAGTCTCGAAGTACATGCAAAGATGTAATCCGGATGATACCAGAGGTCGCGAATGTACCAGTGTACTTCCTACTACCTTATGCACCATTTCATCCCGCCACATACACATAATTGCCACCTCTTTTATCCCATATATGGATCAGCAGTATCAGCCATGACAAACTAGGGTACCAGGGTTCCTGTTGCAGGAGACCCAAAATGCACTCTATTTCTGCAAACTACCAGTAGTGTAGGGAAAACTGGAATGAGTTCCCATTTGCGATATACTGGCTTTGGCTGACAAGTTTGGCACAAAAAGTGGTATTAGTGCCGTGCTTGTCTTCTTGCAACACTCTTGGGTACATTAGCTATATTGGTATGGGTCCTGCGTACGACTCACGGCATACGCCAAAGACCCCATTTATGTACTTCTGAAGTAACAATACCAACATATTAGGAAATTAGAGGCCACATGCCTCGAACTGCTCTTTTCTCTCCGAAATGCAACACTTGCAAGCCAGATACGAAAGAAAAAATCATCAGTCACGCCACCGGGACTCGAACCAGGGACCTTGCTATTCGCGAGCAATGCTGTAACCAACTGAGCTACAGTATGACTCTTATCCACAGTGATGGCAAATCTATCCTTCTTCAATTTGAAATTGCAATTTGTGTTTGCTCTCAGTGGACATACTGTAATTTCACAAATTTTCGGTGTACTTTTATTTTCAGTTCTTTCGCTGCGTCTGTTTCATACCTAAAATTTCAATACACCGAACAAACACTAACACACATAATCCAATAGGGAACTGCTTCTCTGTACGTAAAATATCTGTTCACCTAACCTGACCTTTTGCCCCCATACCGAAAATATTGAGCACCTAAAATTTCTGAAAATAGAGTAGTTTGATGCGCTCCCCATGATATCAAGCGAATGGCTGAGGGCTCTCTTGAGTGGTGTGAGTTGCCAGTATGATGCAAGCCAGATATTGATCGAAGGATAGATTTGCCATCAGCTACGAGGTCAGTCGCATGAACAATTTGGCAGGCTAGGCGAATTTTGATGATACTGGCTGGTGTGTGTGTGTGTGTATGTGCGGGGGGGGGGGGGGGGGTGATCCCCGGTAGCCTAATGGGTAGGGCACTGTCCCAGTAACATAGGGGTGCGGGGTTTGAATCACCCTGCCCGTGCATCCTTCTTTTGTAACACAGGTACTAGAGTACAGTCGCCAAGAACCGATAACACCAATGTATCTATCGTTAATTTGTCGTTAGGGGCCGTCCGTATGTACTTACTAAGAGACGTCAAACAGGCATTTCTGGTGGGTGGGTTCGCCTGCAAAGCGTTTTTAAAAATACATTTCGGAGTGCATGCATACCATACCGCACATGTACATGATGTAGCACTGCTACAGCTAGTGCAGGTAGGCATTGGGACGCACTACACTGCACATGTCACGGCAGAGTTAGACCAGGTAGACATACATGTGACAGGGACACATACATGTACTCTGTACTCCCAGAAACGACTTGCGGGTGTGATTTGGTTCGTTATAAACGAAAACTGTTCGCTATAAAGGGTCAATTTTGTATGGGTTCAAACAGGGACGTGGACAAGGGTTCGCTATAATTATCACGAAATTCGCTATATGCGAGTTCGTTATAAGTGGAGTCGACTGTACTGTATATGTGTGCATAGTATGGCGTATATTATGAGTGGTATTATCTGCATTTTTGGGGGGCGTTTCTGGGGGTGGGTGGAAGAAACGCCTGTTAGACGTCTCTAAGTAAATACATGTATTTACGGACGGTCCCTTAATGATATCCGTTACTTTAAAGGGGCACTCCGGCTTCATTTTCGACGCCGAGTTTTCGATGCCAAGACGAAGGTAGGTGAAAGAGAAGACCCCTCGAACAAGAACGAGTCTCCAGAAGCGATCGAGTCGAGCAGGAAGACGACTTTTGAATTTCGCCGAGCGAGCGCTGATGACGTAATGAGGGATTAGCTTGCCAGTGGAAATGCATCTGCGCACATACATTTCACATACTTTTTGGCCAATTTTCAATCGAAGAGGAGGTTGTTTTCTATGTTCTCTCAACGTCGTGAGCGATCCCGTCTTCTATACCCTTCCAGGTACCCTGAAGGTCCTCCAGAGGAGAATTTATCTCCAGCAAAGCGTTGTTGATCCGCTAAATTCGTCTCGAGACATATTCACCCAGTGCAGTGCTGATAAATGTAGAATGTTGAATCTGTGATAATTGTTGACGATGGAGAGAAAGGCTGATAGCCGCTGTCGCAGGGAGAGTGAAGCTGCTGGAAGTAACAACAGGGAGCCCGTTTGTATCACCTGAACAACCAGACTTCAAAGCAGCTTGACCAAATCGGAGGGTGCCTCGTTGCTTATCGTGAATATTACACCGACATGAATTACTACAAGTACACTGGTGAGTTTTTATCTTGTTTTGTTCGTATGCTAGTACCCTGGCCTGGAGTTCTCGTTAGCAAATTCCTATTCCCTGGCGTTTTCTAAACATTCCGTGTAGTACTGAATACGTGATCAAGTATTCCGATTTGGGTAGATGTGGAATTTGGACATGTATTCTATAAAAAAATTCTATTTTCCCAATAGAGCGTTTGTAGTGAAATGGTTGCCCAAATACAACGAAATTGATTCTGCAGTTCTACAACTTGTACTGAAATCCAGTCAAAGTAAAAAGATTCTTACTGACAGTTGGGGTCAATGAAATCTGATCCAGGCATAACGAATAGTGACGCCTGCCACCCCGAGAACGAATGCCCATTTGGTGGGGGATACCTAAGTACTCGAAAGTGGTGCGTGTTTCAATGTGGCATGGAAGTTTTATAATATTATCTCTGGTCAATGCAACATACGATAGCCATCATGAATTGCAGGCCTCGAACGCAACTCAGACCAGAATTGGCAGTTCCCTAAGTTTATAATTCCATGGCCCCAGCTGTGGTTATAGAAGTTTGTTTGCACATTATTCTTATAGTCGATAGGTTTATACTGATGGCCACAAACAACGGCAGTTCAAACTTCACTGACGTGTTCATGAGCTGAGAGATTTCTCTCCACTATTTCTGCTGTGCATACAGGTCTGTCCAATATGCATTGACCGTATTGGGTATGGTATCTGCTCTGAGAAGGGAATCGCTGGAGCCACAGTCCAATTATACAGGCTTTCAAGAAACAGAGAGGATCCATCTTTCCAAGCTGATACCTGATGTGTACCGACAGAATTCTCACGAGATACCTTACGGACTACGTGTGGTGTGTACTTCATAGTACTCCTTCGACTACTATCTAGAATCAAGTCGACTGAAACCAGTTCAAACAACTCTGGCTTCAAACGAGCCGTCGATTAGACAAACAAAACATTCTCTCATATACTGGAGCACTCTGACAACTCACGACCTATTCCTAACGATTTCCACCGCTTATAAATATGTAGAGTGCTGATTGGAATGTGCTCACAATCTCAACAATTCAGTGCTATAATTATTTGAACAATGTGTTAGAAATTATTCCACTTTTCCTTCTATAAATGTTGTATCCACATATAATCCACAGTGCTCCAAAGTTTCAGAGTTCTCAGGGTATCAAACAAAATTATTTCAAATACAGTGAAATTGTTCGTGGACAGTATAGCGTAACTAATTTACTTGTAGTTCCCTGGTCCTTTTCTTTGCTATAAATTAATCCTTTGCTCTCTAGCCGCCTGCGAGTCCAACAGTGAAATTGTTAGTTCATATTTATAATGTGGGAGGGGGTTGAACATATTTTTTATATAAGGGACCTGCAACTGTAATACCACAGTACAGTAGCCGGCAAATATGTAGAAAACAGAAATGCATGTTCCCATCATTGTACATGGACGGGCGCAGCAGGCCGAAGCTATCAGCCAGAACAGGATTTACAATCACTTAGAGATACTTGAGCTATTCCAGTATTCTCCGTGAGCTGTCCCATTCCACAATGGTTCATGCCACCAATATTTCTGGTAGTATCCATGTGCATAGTTCCAAGACCATCTCGGATTCTTCAGCAATTTGTGCCACGGCAAAAGACAATGCTTGACTCCGTCACTGGGGCTGTCAAACTTCCCATCACAAATGAACTTCAATTTCTCATCTGTTTCAAGTATATGTACTGCCATGACTTGACCATGCTTCATCCACAGCTGGGCGAAGATTGTGGCGTTGAATTCCATAGCGCACCTTCTTGCTGACATGCAGGAGTATGTTGAGAGAAGTGAACATATTTTTACTACAAAACAACAGCCACTGAAGAGGATAGCAATAGCCTTGGGTGAATTTCCTGCAGGTACACGTTGTTGGTAGGTCTACTGGTCGGTCTCCATATCGTCAAGTTCAGAAATCACCTGTACTACACATCTTGTAGAAGGGACCCTGATCGAATAATTTTCTGGTCATAAAATTCACTAAACTGAGGGCGAGACAAATAGTCAGTACTCCCCGATTCGTCAAGCTGCTTTGAAGTCTGGATGCACATGTGATGCTAACAAGCTCCCCGTTGTTACTTCCAGCAGCTTCACTTTCCCTGCGACAGCGGCTATCAACCTCTCTCTCCATCGTCGACAATTATCACAGATTCAACATTCTACATTTATCAGCACTGCACTGGGTGAATATGTCTCGAGACGAATTTAGCGGATCAACAACGCTTTGCTGGAGATAAATTCTCCTCTGGAGGACCTTCAGGGTACCTGGAAGGGTATAGAAGACGGGATCGCTCACGACGTTGAGAGAACATAGAAAACAACCTCCTCTTCGATTGAAAATTGGCCAAAAAGTATGTGAAATGTATGTGCGCAGATGCATTTCCACTGGCAAGCTAATCCCTCATTACGTCATCAGCGCTCGCTCGGCGAAATTCAAAAGTCGTCTTCCTGCTCGACTCGATCGCTTCTGGAGACTCGTTCTTGTTCGAGGGGTCTTCTCTTTCACCTACCTTCGTCTTGGCATCGAAAACTCGGCGTCGAAAATGAAGCCGGAGTGCCCCTTTAATAGCTATAAATTTAACTTATTTTGCATTATTTTCAGTACCCACTTTTTTCTACTGGCTGCCCACTTTTTTTCTACTTGATGCAATTCAGATTTCAATGTTGGAAGTTTAGAGTTGGAAATCTGCAGTTACTGGATCAGGAATACCTAAATCGGTGAACTTGCACAAGGCTAGAAATAGCAGATATACTTCGAACAGTACCTGCATTGCCTGCACGGAAAGAGCAGATGTAGAAAATGTCCTCAGCCTCTGCTGCATTTGGCTTGAAGAGATTGTTGAAAATGTTTGTCCCAGTGTAACTTGTGTGCTGCACAACAGCTGCAGGCCCAGCAAGCTGCAGACTATGATGAGATATGAACGCCACATGGCTGATGCCGCACAGGAAGCCAGAAGAACGTCAAGCCTGACTAGGCGAGCTTAGAAAATACTGGAACGCAGGCTACTGCAGAGCCTGGTGATTCTTGGTCTGCACACCAAGACTCAAGACTTGATGTGCACTTTCATCTGCTGTTGTTCAAGTAATTATTTCAAAAATTCGCTGCTCAAGCTTGCAAGGCAAGAGCTTGAAGAGGCACACCGTGTTACACGTACGTGCACCGTGAAATCGGAGTGCACCGAGCATGCGGGCTAGGCTGCGTCCGCGGATCCGGTTCGGCCCACAGATATATCAAGCTTCCTAGCAGCTACTGCTTGTTGATTCTGCCTTTCTGGTAGTCCACACAGACCACAGAGGGATGGCTCAGGCTCAACTGTCTTTGTAAAACAGTTACTTGTCTGAAGTCACATTCAGCAAGTGGGCGTGAAAGAAGAAAATGAAGAACACGTAGACTGGTCTACACGGCTATCTACTGACTTCTGAACACCGGGCAGTCGTGTTTCGATGCCGACAGAATAACTCAGTGATGTGTTATAATGATTATGTAGACAGTACTACTAGGTACTACTACTAGTAGTAGATCTACAGAGCTAGCTAGAAGTAGAAGGTCTAAAAAACAGTAGTGAGCGTCGGCGGCGTGCAGTGAAGTCATCACAAGACACCAAAATTAGGAAGCTACAACTACCGTGTGTAGAGCGCCCACTATCGCTTTTATACCATGTACATGATTGTGGTTGGTGCATACTCGTAGTCGTACCATCGTACTGGAATCTGGTCTTTGGTCAGTTTGGAGCAGGGAGTTTTTACGACTCCCTGGTTTGGAGACAACAGATTTATGCCATTACATAATCGTCATTACAGCATTATTAATTTTTTGTTTCGGTGAACTGCGTGTTACCGACTGTCTTTGTGGCAGAATGTATGTGTTTCAGTAATCATTATTCTGCTGACTGTACGAATAAATCTACCAACGGATATCGGAATGGATAATTCATGAACGGAGAGGGAATAATCTTTCATGCCTGAAAAAAATCCAGCGTCCAGCATTGTCGGTAGACTAGACAGGAGCAGGCTTTGCTGGCGACAGCCAAAAAACTGCATTCACTGAGCCAGTTACAGCACCCAACCATTCAGACACCGTCGTCTGTTCCCTAGCTAGCCCCTGGCCTAGGCCTAGCCCTCTTACTGGTTACTACTCAGTACTACACTAGTGCGCTGTGCTGGGCCAGGATCCAGTCCCTGGTACAAAAAAAGTACCGGTAGACCTATTACTAGTATTACTATTAGTATTACATGTACTACCAAGTACTAGTAGATTTACTAAAGTACTAGTACTTGAAAATACCGCGGCAACAGGCTCTCAGCCGCACCAAATAGATAACTTTGCTAAATATTTCACCCGTGGCGTTGGGCATCATCATGTCAGGGCACTGAGGAATGATTATGTAGTACTAGTAGTATTAGTAGTTCCAAAAGCAGTTCAGTCACTGGCATGACCACTCTGTGTGCTGGCTATTTTGCGCATAACCGATACCATGGGTACTAGTGTCAGCACCAGCGCTTACATGTACTGAGCTGAGACTTGAGAGTGCCCGTTCAGGCTGAGTCAGGCAGGGTTGGGTTCTCTTTCTAAACTCTACTGACTCTAGCTGCTTCTGCTAGCTCCTTCTACTTCTACATATTAAACAATCATGCTTTAAATTAAAAAAAGTACATGATAGCATCATCTCCAATCGTCATGACATGATTGTGCTTTTGTGCCTCCACCCGTGACCGGTATACATGTTATACTGCTCTAGCACTCTCTCGTTGAAGTAACAAGGCTTAGTCATGATGTAATACTTGGTTTCTGAATGAGTGAATAGTGAATACAACTCATTTCTTTCATGGCGTGCTGCTAATGCCGGCGGCTAGTACGCCGGCTACTCTGTAGTTTCACACATCATACAATCATGTCATGTATGATGTGTGAAATAGACACCACATCCTGTACAGTAAAACCTGGTTTAAGCGACCACCCCACGGTGCAAGGAAAAGCGGTCGTTAAAGCCAGGTGGTCTTTAGAACCAGGTCCCACAGTGCCTGTGTAGAACTGTCCGTGCATGGAAAAACGGTCGTTAAGAGCAGGTGGCCGCTATAACGAGAGGTCGCTTACACCAGGTTTTACTGTAGTTTGTACTGGCAGTAGTATTTATTTATTTATTTATTTCACCGTCCAATGGCAGAAGCCAATGCAAAGGAGGGGGCGTTAGCCAGCCATGGCAAGAGAAGAAAAAAATGAAGGAAAGAAGATGATAATCGGAAGAAAATAATGCATCAGCGGGGTGAAATGTATCACTATGTTGACCATGGTGGAGAGCGGCGAGATAAGCTAGCAAAAGAGGCGAGCGAGCCTACAACGTGGCATGACATTTAACATGGTCTATGAACTGTCTAATATTGGATATTGTCTTCATTTCCATGGGCAGCTTGAGCCAATACGAGTATGCAGAGAAGATAGGAGATTTGGTAAACATAGTTGACAAAGCTCTGGGAAGTACTATGCCATTGCGAGTGTCCCGTGCGAAAGTAAACCAATTATACATGTACTTAGTGAGATGTTCAGGGACAATGTTGAGTTTAATACGATGGACCAGAACGCATGACTGTCTCTGCGACAGGATAGAGATGGGGCTGGTGGAGGCCAAACTATAATCAGTAGAGGGGAAAGAGAGGGTTTACGAAAAATAATTTCCAACACACGTTTATGATATATTTCTAGTGTCTGTACAGCAGATTTACTAAGCAGGGAATGCCAAGCAGTGGCGCCGTACAGAAAGATAGGAAGGAGGTAGCATTTATAAAAGAGACGAATACATTCGGGGGACAAGTGGGAGCAGTGAGACATCAGGCAACCTACAGATTTGCTAACTTTGTTGCATACAAAATCTACGTGAGAATTCCAGGACAATTGCGAGTCAAATACAACACCCAAATGCCTGTGAGTATCTACAATATTAATGTTAATAGCCGAATCAAGTCCGGGAAGGGTAAATGTGAGAGGGTGGTCTAGTTGAGGGAGAAAGACTATTTCTGTTTTCAAGATATTGGGTTTCAGACGCCATGACAACATCCATTTATGAACAACATTGATTCCATTCTGAAGCTTCGCACACAGGTTTGCAATGTCGGCGTCAAACTGATGCTATGGATCGCACAAGGGTAGCCAGCTCCCGCTAGCGCTGAGAGTGAGAGAGGACCTGATTCATGAGACGAGTACGAAGAATGACGTTACTCGTTTATACTACTGAAGTAGTTAGTTGTGCAATGGCCCTGTGAATGAAAGGCTCGATGCCTTGACGTCTTGACACTTGATAGTCAGCGGCTGAATGCATACATGTACATGTACATGGGAAACCACTGTCCATCAAACAAAACAAAACAAAAACGTGAAAGGGCAAAAACCCCGCAAAATACATGTAGCCTTGATCAAAGACAAAGGCAAGGGCATTCTGACTGGAAGCATTGTCCATGTCCATGGTCATGGAAAGGGTTATTCGCAATGGTACTGCCACTGTACTGGATCCCTGCTGGGTGAATCGAACTTTTCACGACACTAGCAATGATACTAGTCCAGCCTATCATGATTCATGGTGCAGATCTTGTAGATCGCAGATCGTAGATGTACAGTGCCACCGCTAGCGCTCGGAGATCACTGCCCTTCATATCACGTGCCTCCGAAGTCAGAGCTCAGTTTTACAATTGTACAAAGTAACTAGTTACTGTTCATACAATATACTTTGAAGTAGTACATACACAGCCGGGCGCACACACGCGTACAGACTCATACACACACACACACACACACACACACACACACACACACACACACACACATGACATTGTAGTTACACACACGCACGTAAACACAAATACACGCGCGCACACCACACACCATGTACTCACACACACACACACACACACACACACACACACACACACACACACACACACACACACACACACACACACATATTACTTAGTATGATATAACCTACAGAGAGCACCTTCTCGCGACATGCAGACAGTGTCATGGTGATGACCAAAAAACTGTTGACAGTTGACGAGCTGAGAAAAGGACGCCATGGGCAGAAGTTGGAAGAAAAAAGAAAAAGAAAAAGAAGTCTTTATAAAGAGCGAAGAAAACAAGACGACATCAGGAGTAGTCCCCTAACCCCCTAGCATAATGAGGGTCAGAACCGGGTGCGATACCCATATGGTTCAAATGATCCGCAGGGACCGAGGCTCTGCCAACCGCGGAAGGTTGTAGTAAGGTCACTGTTTACGAACACAGTGTCCTCCTCCTTGTTTCATGCTGTCAATCTAACAATTACATACATACATGTACAAGTCTTGTACATGTACTTGCTCACTGCCAAAACTGGTCACGTGGGTCTCCCCGGGAGAGGGGAGAGAGACTCAAGAGGAATCTTGCCGGGAGATGACTCAATTGGCTATTGAACCGCCCAATGGCCGACACCCCCTGAAATCCCCAAACTATGGATGGACTTGGGAAATGATCCCACTTATGGGCTCAACATACCTCAGTAAGTGGGTGAGGACAAGGTGCAGAAAAAGGATTGACAGCATCAGGGTATCCGTCCCGGGATCCACCTGCAGTTACCCCTGCCCCCAGTGAAGGTAATACTTGCTACTCGTGTGGATGGCTAAATGAGAGTGGATCTGATAAAAGCTTCACTAGCACCATTGATTACACAAGAGTTAATCTAGCCAGAAGCAGTCCATGGTTAACAGGTATGTATACTTCAAAAAGAAAGTATATGAACCCTGAAACCAAGAAAGGCAGCAAGTACAACAATACACCGTCAAGCAGCCGAGCCTTTGGCAACAGACCCAACACTGCAGAGACACTGGCAACAGACCCAACACTACAGAGACACTTTATCTGGCATAAATGTACCCCCCAACAGAACTAGCTGGCACGCGCGCGCGCACACGCACACCATATACATGTACCATGAACACACACACACACCATTGGACCATTGGACCATTGGACGCCCATTGGACGCCCATCGCCGGAGGCGATGACAGCAATGCTACAGCAGAAGCCATAGCAACTTGTGCTGGGATTGCACCATTCATCAGCTTGCAAGGCTGAAGAATTGGCTGCCACTATTCAGCCTGGTCTACACCACACAGCTATGAAGTGGCTTTTTCTGGCCAGTGAATCCCTATTTTTGGTCTTTTCATTTTTTTATTTTTCCCGCACACACATTGGTTGGTTGGTTTTTTCACATCACACCACATACTCCGGCATGCACTGGCTGTTGGTAACCACCCAGGAGAATGAAAGAAAAGTCAGGAAGAGTCACACACACACACACACACACACACACACACACACACACACACACACACACACACACACACACACACACACACACACACACACACACCACACACACACACACACACACACACACACACACACACACACACACACACATACATACACACGCACGCACACACACACACACACACACACACACACCACACCACACCACATCACACCTCAGACCTCAGACCTGCCCATTGCTGAAGCAATGATAGCGAACAGCTACATGTATGTTAGACATA